TATCAGGCTGGACCACTGTTGTTTGCTTCAGTTAGCAGGTTGGAATACTGTTGGAGTACTGTTGTTTGCTTCAATTAACAGGATGGAACATTATTATTGCTTCAGTTAGCAAAGTTGAACTTAATTTTGGCTTGAGCAAGCTTAATGGAACGCCGTTATAGCTTCAGTTATCAAAGGGTTCCTCGTTATTTTGTAGAGTGCTTGTACAGTGATCGTATTGTGCATATACAACCCGTCCTGTTAAAAATAACGTCACTTTTCGCTCGTATGCGCGCTATGGTAAAATTTGGATGTAATTTGAAATGAAATCGACTCACAAAAGTGACGTACTGTTCCGTTTTCTGTTTGAATCGTCCGCCTTACTCTGCAAGCTTAGAAGAGGCAACTTTCCATTAACGTTTTTCATACCGTTTTGAAACTTTATGATAATTTTCTGCCCACCTAACCTATCAGAGGACCCTTAACTTACTGTTGTTGAAAAAAAATCCCAAATTTATTTTCATTTTTTTTCATTTTCAAATTACGTCCATATTCGGCCATACGGGCAAACGGCCAAAAGCGACGTTCTTCTTAAGAGGACAGGTTGATCAACAGTGCTCCCAGAGTGTTCACATAAGTAGAATTAAGGAAACTGCATGCAAACGATTAGTCACAATAACGTGACTGAAGATGTGATGACTAAACCAAACACCAGAAGATGAGGAGACGACGACGACGCTTCGGTCCGTCCTGGATCATTATCTTCTTGAGATGATTTCGGGGCTTTTTAGTGTCCCCGCGGCCCGGTCCTCGACCAGGCCTCCACCCCCAGGAAGCAGCCCGTGACAGCTGACTAACACCCAGGTACCTATTGTACTGCTAGGTAACAGGGGCATAGGGTGAAAGAAACTCTGCCCATTGTTTCTCGCCGGCACCCGGGATCGAACCCGGGACCACAGGATCCCAAGTCCAGCGTGCTGTCCGCTCGGCCGACCGGCTCCCTCATTATCAAGTCGACAACGGTCCAGGATGGACCGAAACGTCGTGGTCTCCTCATGGTCTGGTAGGTGGTTTAATAAGGACACTGAGAAAGAGTTATTGGTCTTAGCAACACTACTTCATCCTTCTTACTTAAAAATTTGGTTGCTAAAGCTAATTTAAATACAATTTTACTCTGTCTTTGAAAATGCTGACACTTAACAAACCACTTCTCTGAAGCTGGTTCAATGTATAAATACTTCACTTGGTACATCAAATGTTCTTAGTTTATTACCATGTTTTGAATTTGATATCTTGCCCATGTAGAATATACACGAAATATTGTTTGAAATTTCTATAATTTAAAATTTCACATCCAAAAAATTGTGTGTAGCAATAATTCTGATAAAAAAAATAATCAGAATCTTTATTCATTGATTCTGGAAAACTATGAATATTTCCATTCTGTGTGTGTATTACATATATTCACAAGGTTTCCTTTTGCATTTATGTATTAATATTATTGTATTTCATTATTGTATTTCATTATTGTTCTATTTCATCACTGATGGATCAGAAAAATGAATATTCTGATTATTCAAAGGCACTCGGAGTCCTGTGCTGTGGCAGGCACTGTCTCCAAGGGTGAAACAAATTTTCACTGACGAATATTACATAGGCCTCTCTGACGCAATATGTTGTTTGAATATAATGTTAAAAATGTTCTATTGTAGAACAGGAGTAGTACAATCAGCACTGCCACCGCCAGATTGACGAGCGTAAGTAGTGTCATCAATAATGTTAGCAGTAACAGTCACTGACCCGTGTTAATAATTAAGAGAGCATCAATGACAGGTGCTAAAGGATTGTGTGAGCCCTGTAGTCCTCATAACAGCTTCCAGCAGCTCATACATTGTGAGTCAAGAAGTATAGCAGGAGTGGATAAATATGATCTCTAGAGGTTTAGGGATAAATATTTTTTTAAGATCGTCATAAAATCGTAGGAAAGATCCTCTTTCTATATCTCAGGGTTTCACATACGCCTCATAACAGCTGTAATACGACGATGATTTAATACTTTCTACGGCAGTATTTTAGAGTATCTGGAAAACACTCCTTGGGGGTACAAAGTTACTTCCACTCCCGGATGTATTGTGGCCCCCTGGGGCATAGCTGTCACCCCTAGTGGCATCGTTATCGCGTCTCAGGGGCATAGTTATCGTCCTCCCATAAGCTAGTGCTGGCGCCCCCAGGGACATAGTTACAGGCTACAAGGGGGGGATAGGTAAAGCCCTCAGGTATATATTTGTTGATCCCAGGGGCATAGTTGTTACCACAGGGGCATAAATGTTACCACAAGGGCCTAGCTGTCATCCCCAGAGGACTAATTGTTACTACCAAATGCATAGTTGTTGCTACAGGGGGCATAGGTGTACAACCAGGGGAATAGTGTTACCCACAGGTGAATTGTTGTCACCCCCAGGGGCATAGTGTTACCCCAGGGGCATAGTTGTCACCCCCAGGGGCATAGTTGTCACCCCCAGGGGCATAGTTGTCACCCCCAGGGTCACAGTTGTCACCCCCAGGGGCAGAGTTGTCACCCCCAGGGGCATGGTTGTCACCCTCAGGGGCATAGTTGTCACCCCCAGGGGCATAATTGTCACCCCCAGGGGCATAGTTGTCACCCGCAGGGGCATAGTTGTCACCCCCAGGGGCATAGTTGTCACCCCCAGGGGCATAATTGTCACCCCCAGGGGCATAGTTGTCACCCCCAGGGGCATAGTTGTCACCCCCAGGGGCATAGTTGTCACTCCCAAGAACATAGTTCTCACCCCCAGAGTAACTGTTGTCACCCACAGGGGCATAGTTGTCACCCCAGGTACATAGTTGTCACCCCCAGAGGCATTGTTGTCACCCCCAGGGGTATAGTTGTCACCCCCAGGGGCATAGTTGTCACCCCAGGTACATAATTGTCACCCCCAGGGCCATAGTTGTCACCCAAGAATCATAGTTGTCACCCCCAGGGTCACAGTTGTCACCTCCAGGGGCATAGTTGTCACCCCCAGGGTCACAGTTGTAACCCCCAATGGCATAGTTGTCACCCCCAGGGGGATAGTTGTCGCTCCCATTGGCATAGTTGTCACCCCCAGGGGCATAGTTGTCACCCCCAGGGGCATAGTTGTCACCCCCAGGGGCATAGTTGTCACCCCCAGGGGCATAGTTGTCACCCCCAGGGGCATAGTTGTCACCCCCAGTTGTATAGTTGTCGCTCCCAGGGGCATAATTATCACCCTCAGGGGCATAGTTGTCACCCCCAGGGGCATAGTTGTTACCCCTAGTTGTATAGTTGTCGCTCCCAGGGGCATAGTTGTCACCCCCAGGGGCATAGTTGTCACCCCCACGGGCATAGTTGTCACCCCAAAGAGCATAGTTGTCACCCCCAGGGGCATAGTTGTCACCCCAGGGGCATAGTTGTCACCCCCAGGGGCATAGTTGTCACCCCCAGGGGCATAGTTGTCACCCCCAGGGGCATAGTTGTCACCCCCAGGGGCACAGTTGTCACCCCCAGGGGCACAGTTGTCACCATTACGGGCATAGTTGTCACCCCCAGGATCACAGTTGTCACCATTATGGGCATAGTTGTCACCCCCAGGGGCACAGTTGTCACCCCCAGGATCACAGTTGTCACCATTATGGGCATAGTTGTCACCCCCAGGGGCACAGTTGTCACCCCAGTGGCATAGTTGTCAGGGTAGTTGTCATAGTTGTTGCAACTTTGCCCAGGGGCATAGTTGTCACCCCCAGGGGCACAGTTGTCACCCCCAGGGTCACAGTTGTCACCACCATGGGCATAGTTGTCACCCCCAGGGGCACAGTTGTCACCCCAGTGACATAGTTGTCAGGGTAGTTGTCATAGTTGTTGCAACATTGCCCAGCGGCATAGTTGTCACCCCCAGGGGCAGAGTTGTCACCTGCACGGGGCATGGTCGTCGTTCTCGGGGGCATAGTAATCGCCCCCAGCCGCACAGTCATCAGGAAGACTCTCATGCCTACACCAGCAGCATCCTTCAAGAGCATCATTTCCTATTGAAAGTTAGAGACTTAGGAGAGTCAAGTGTGAAAGGACTACAATGCTCTTGCAGCCAGACAAGACCATTACAGCTTTGTTTTTTAATATTATAATTATTTTCTACCACAGATGTGGCCACACATTTACAATGCTAATTAGCATATATACATTTTATACGGTCCTCCATGGACAGGGTGAGAGATGTATTAAACATATAGTTCTGGGAATTTGTTGAACAATCAACCACAGAAGGTGATTTGGTGCTTTTGAAATGCTAAGCTTATCTACATACGTAAATACATAGATACACAGATTTACGTATGCTCTACATAAAGTGTTCGTTGTATCTTTTACATAGTGTCATTAATGAGCATTTACAAAGGTGAAATGTAATTCTGATCAGCTTCCATATATACTTTCTACACATACATATACATACACACACATATACGTACATATATACATACATATATACACACACATGCATTCACATACATTTGTCTCTTTTACTCTGACAGGGTGAAATAGCTGATAAAGAAACTAGTGTGCAATTAAGCACTTAAACACTGAAGGTGATTAAGTGCTTTTACAAGCTCAGGTTATATAGTTCCATTACATACATACATTGTATAATTGATACATTACATGGTTAATCTTGGGTACAAGTCCAATATATCATCAAGTGTTCCAGTACTCATATAGTAATTACAGAGTTCCGCATACCTTAGCCCAGGAGGGCGAAAGTCAGTCAGTATGGGACATTCTACAATATAATGTTCAAGAGAGTGCATGTTTTCTCTTTCACAAAGTTGACACATTGTGTACTCGACATTTGGGTTTTGAGAAAGCTGCCAAATACGTCTATATCCCAGGCGTATTCTGGCCACTATGACATCGCATTGCCGGGTTCTTGTTCTATTAGTCCCATATGTGAATGTCTCCTCACGATATCTATCATAATATTTAATGCTACAACTTTCCGGTCGTTGCGAAAATGTTAGGTCAGTGAGATCTTCATTAGATATTTGTTTAAGTATTCTCTTTGTCACTGCTAATGAAACACCCATATCTATTTCTACCACTGGCTTTCTACAGGCTGTCTTTGCAAGCATATCAACAGTGTCATGCCTTGAGATGCCAACATGTGATGGTATCTATAGGAATTTAATTTTAAATCTGTTTTCTTTAACAGCTAAAACATTCATTCGAATATCACTGACTATTTTCTGGGTGTCACTATGTGCGTTTAATGCCAGGAGTGCACTCTGCGAGTCACAGTATATAAGTCCACTGTCTTTGTCTTTTAAAAATTCGGTGGCAAGGTATATGCCTGCAAGTTAAGTTTGAGTTGTACTTGCCCAGTCATTGACGCGCTTCATTGCTGTATGTACGAGAGAAGATTGTTCAAATATATTACATGCACATCCGGTACATCGTCCACCTTCTTCTACAGAGCCGTCGGTATAGCACTGATACACATCGTTACCCATACTCTGAGTACTTTCAGTGTTAACTGTTTTAATAATGTATAGTGCACACTATCTTTCTTGGGCGCATTTACAAAATCAACTGATAGATCCCAGTTATCCCATGGAGTAATTGGTTGATTAATCATTAATTGAGTTGGGTACATATTTAATATTTTGATGGAGTTGGCTACCTTGTAGAACCAAAATACATAATCAGATTTCGTTCTTCTTCTATAGACCTTAGGTGAGTGCAGCATATTAGAAAGTTTAGCTTGAAACTTCATGTGCTGTCCAGATCTACTCAACGCCTTCACGCCGAAAACTGTGCTAATAGACAAAATTCTCTCACATAAGTGAGAGAATTAATTAGGTAGGTAATTTTAACTCTGCTCTCATATTAACTATTCTCATGGACTTTGGAGCCCCAAGGATGAGACGCATAGCTTCATTTTGCAAGGTTTCAAGAGATTACAGCTCTTTGTCTGTATACAGTGTGAGATGTAGAGCATTGTAGTCAATCACAGAGCGCATAAATGATACATAAAACATTCTAGCAAGTCTCACGTTAAGTCCATGATTGACACCAACAAGGACCCACACGGGCTTTAATCTCTCCTACAGTCTCCTCTTGAGAGAAGAAAGGTACCCAGGGTCGTTAATGGGGACACCAAGGTATCTGTAAGACTCGCAGTTCTCAAGTGCTCGCCCATCTATATGATAATTGAGTGGTGGAATACCACACGGAATAAGGGCACGAGTTTTCTGTACTGATATAAGGAGGCCACATTCCTCAGCTTTAGTAGCAAAAGCATCGAGCAAAACTTGCATTCTAGGCTCGGAGGCAGCCTGTAAACATATATCATCAGCATAACAAATGACAGTGTCTTCATTATTAGTTGGAAGATCTTTAATAAGTTTAAAGGTGTGGTGATCAGGTGAGCAATAGTAGTAGATGAATATGTATATGTGCCGTAGAGTTAATCGCGTGTAGTTTAATAGTTTATATAGTTAATAGTTTATATAGTTTAATAGTTATATAGTTTAATAACAGTATGTAGGATATGTTGAGGAGGACTAGAGGAGGGCCCCCCTACTCCTAATTGGGTTGGAAACCGGCCTTTAGAGATGGGTGGTTAAAGGTAGGGCACGAGAAGGAGGTTAAGGGGAGAGGGGAAGGGGAGGGAAGCAGGGGGTGTCTTTGAATGATAGCGCGGGTCTCTGTTTCATGTAATGTTACCTTGAGGTTACCTTGAGGTGCTTCCGGGGCTTAGCGTCCCCGCGGCCCGGTCGTCGACCAGGCCTCCTGGTTGCCGGACTGATCAACCAGGCTGTTGGACGCGGCTGCTCGCAGCCTGACGTATGAGTCACAGCCTGGTTGATCAGGTATCCTTTGGAGGTAAATAAATGTAAATATATTTTTACCAATTCTTTGTCTGTGGTGGTGGGGGATCTCCAATATCGTCATGTCTGAGTAGAGAGGTGTACACGGCAGGATATGACAGCGACAAATAATGGTGGGAATGAGCCGCACTGGTTTTGTAAAGAGGGTGGGTGGACCTCCCCCCCCTCTCTCTCCCTCACCTCCCCTAGCTTGCTTCCAGAGGGGTAAGGAGAGTAAGGACCCTCATCGTGTTAAATCATCGACCCATCAAATCAAATCACCTGCTGACATCTTAATAGGATTTAGCATCAATCAGTAAAAGCAGTCACTCAGGTACAAGTCAGTAGGCGTTTTTACTGGTGGTAGGAGGTAGGGGTTTTCTGCTACTGAATGAATATATATGTAATTTAGATCAAACCCAGGAGCTTCACCAGGGCATACCACATACCACCACCACCACCACACATAGGTATGAGGTCTTCCATGTCACGCGCCCCTGGGCGGCTCACCTCTGTAAAGTTTGACACATAACTGGGGCTAAATGAGGCGATACCGCCCACCATACCCTCTCCCGACCGCTCCCTCCCCTCACACTTAGCAGTCACTTGACACCCATAAGTTAACAGCTAACATGCATTTCTCGCTATACAGAATAATAAATAAATAAATAGGAGAAGTAAACCCGTTTATATCATTTTTATTCTTTTATTATTAATAAACACTTCAGCAGCACCACGTGTCTCTGTATTCTTATCAAATAAAGACTATAGCCTGAGGCATAAATCGTTTAATTTCGCTTTTGACTCTGAGTAACGAGCCTCATTGTATACCAGTCTTCAATTCTCTTCAATCAAATCAAATCAAATCTCTGCCAGTAAAAACAGTCACTCAGGTAAAGTCAGTAGACATTTTTACTGAATGTGGGAAAGACAACTTCTGGAGGCAGCAGCACTAGGAGACTTGCAGGTAGGTGTTTTTCCACTACTGAATGAATATATGTAATTTTAGATCAAACGCAGGAGCTTCGCCATTACACACATCTGGGGTGGGGGGTTTGATGTGTACTGAGATGGGCGAGGTATTGGGGATGATCATACCCTCACCCCCATCCACCCCCACCCCAACCCCCCTCCCACACCCCTTCCCAGCCCATACCATCAAGCATCACTTCACCCTTCCCAGACCGGATGTTCTGTGCAAAGCCATTAGTATTATTTCTGATCATATGTAGAGTAGTGACCCAGTTCACAAACACACAGATGTCATCCCATTCCACACGTCCTCACCAGAGGTTGGAAGACTAATGTCAATTTTCGGCACCCCATTGTAACACGGGGGGGGGGGGGTGTTCTCGAATGATCTTTCCTACCTTTCCTCCCTCTACCCGTATTCTTACCTTGTTCTCTATACCACGGGACTCCAAAACTTTCACTTGAGCCGACTCCACGCCACGTGGTCTCAAGCCGATTTACCAACTTGAGATTCTACAACCCGTATGACGTGACATAGGCTTTGAGTAAAACCCTAGAGTCGCCTCCGCCGCCACCACCAGACCAGTAACACTGAGCAAAGATTGAGGTCTGGATCGATCATGCTAATTAATCAACCTTGGGGCTTGATCCCAACTAGTAGCTTATAACCTAAGATCTAAAGTGTGGAATTAATTCACAATCAACGGTAAAGATGACTTCCGATTTGGTGTTAGAATCGGCTCCCAATTCAACTCTGCCTCGTAGGGACCACGTGACCAGGACAAATTCACATACATATAACAAACACATGGAAATAATGAAAATGCAGATTATTAACTAATTAATTTATTCAAAATTAAGCAAAATTTAAATTGTTAGCACTCCCTACTTGACCAGATCGGCAATGAATTGACTATCCCTATAATTAACAAGAGCAACTATACCTCTATGTTGACCAGCTTGGGTGGAGTGCTGGTCTTGGGGGGAGAGGTGAGATGGTTGACCTCTCCCAGTTGATCTCGATCCCACACTGATCTCTCCTCGTCTGGTCTTCCCCAGACTAGAGCATTGTATCCTTCCGCATAGTCTAAGTTTTACCAAGTTACTAGCAAGGCTTAAGTTTAATAATTAACCACTGTTTGTACTGAATTGATCCAGAGTGGTTGAAATATTTTACTGAAGTTAAATTACAC